AGTAAGATAAATGAAATTCAGCAAAAGACTTGACCAAAGGAGATCCATTTCTACAATTATGAAGGAAATACAATAAAAGGGATTCTTAATAGTGGAAATGCCACCTGCTGTTAACATCTAAAGGATAATCAAGGATCTGGATTAGGAAATTTCTATTTAAAAACGTTCGGGCCGGCCGAGTGGCACAATGGTTAAGAACTGGCTTGGGATGCCAGAGGGCCCCGGTTCGGATCCCACATATGAGGGCCAGTGACACTGCCCTCTTCAGCTAAGATGCTGAACAACAGCTCAACCTGGAGCTGGGCTGCCGTGAGTCGCCGGCGATGGCGTAGGCTGCAGCCCCTGTGGCAGTGGGTTGCCATGAGCTACCGTGTGTAGTCAGCAGCCAGCGAGCGGCCAGCAGCCGCAGTGAGCGGCCATCCAGAAGCCGGCGACTGATTTGCCTCGCCCAGGAAGCGCACAATGATGGTGCCAACTTGGGCCAGTGAAGCAACGTCCTCCACAACTAGACTGAAGAACAAAAACGACAGCAATTTGTCTGTTCCCCTTCCCCCAATTCCCCAGCACTGTTCCCTTCCTCCCAATACCCCAATAAAAATCTTAAAAAAAAAAAAAACCTTTCACAGTTATAATACCTACTCTTAATATATTTACTTGGGACAAAGAGGGCCAGTTACAGATTTCCTAATCTAATTTTATAATAGGCAGCTTTCCCTTAGGATATTTATGGTAAAATCATGAGATAAAATAAGGTCAAAACTGAAGGCACTATGAGAATCAAGTCTTCAAAATGGCAGGAATGCTATTAATTTATACATTCAAGAGTTAGTGAGTGCAGTGCCCTGAGTCCAGGAGATACTGAGATAAGTAATGATTTCTACCCCCAAGGAAGTCATAGCCTCATTGGAGGCAGACATCCCTGTAGGGTGCTTGCTTATACCACTACAGGCGTATCAACAAGCTGTCAGGAAAAAGCTCTGCAGAGAAGATGAGGGATTAGAAGTTTGAAGGGAGAGAGAAACTTAGGCAGAAAGGGGCCGAGGAGAAGATACCTCAGTCAGAGAGAACAGCATGTCCAAGAGCAGGGAGCTGAGAATCTCACTGCGTTCAGTCTGATAATGTGCAAGGAGAAAATGCAGGAAATGGAGCCACTGAAAAATGAGGTGGGGCTTGTGAAGAGCTTTGGAATACCTGCTCAAAAAGATACTATGTTTTCTAGCATGAGTGACAGAAAACATTGAAAGATTTAAGCAGTTGTTGAGACAAGTGGGAAACTTAGGTTCATTTGACCTAAGTGGTTTCTAAATGGACCTACTTCATTTGACCTGAATGGTTTTTGGCTTGTTAATTTTTATTGAACTATCTCTTCAGTACTCTGGTTTTAAGTTGTGTTTTGAAGACATAGCTCCTTAAGTGGACGGAGCCTTGTTCACAAAGTTGCCCCAGCAAATGCCCATCTTCCGTAAATGCCCATCTCCTTGCTGTGCTGTAAAGAAGCACGGAGCCTCCCCTCCACACTTACACGGTAGAGACACTGCGTATTCCTGGCTTTCTCCACTTGATGAAGACCAAGGTCTTTTTTATTTTAGAATGAATTTCGTTACCATGTTTCCCCCAAAATAAGACCTAACCAGAAAATAAGCCTAGCATGATTTTTCAGGATGCTCGTAGTATAAGCCCTACTCCAAACATAAACCCCAGTTAAGATCATCACCCAGAAAAAACTGAATAAATGTAGATTTTTGTACATGAATAAATGAATAAATGTAGATTATTGGGAGCAAAAATTAACGTAAGACCCAGTCTTATTATATTTTGGGAGAAACACAGTAGCAAGCCCGGCAGGAAGCAGTGAAACTTGGCTGCACATTCTACGGCAGCGTATTGTCATGTTCAGTGTCACAAGAGTCTCCTCCTCCAGGAGATGCCATCTCTCCTGTGACAGCTGGCTTTGTTCTTGTAAAGGGAGAGGTCCCTTACCTAGTAGGGATAAATTCCCTCATGTAACTTGAATAAGGTGCAGGGGTGTGTCCCCAGTCACACAGTGACAATCTTCCCTAACGTAAATTGATCATTGCAATCTGGAGCTAAAGAAAGCTCCGTTTCCTTGGGCTCTTTGCTTCTTTTAGTTCAGACTAATACAGTAAGTTTGTTTTCTGAACATGTTAATGCTTATTTACGTTCCTGGAGCCAATCAAGACTCTGGGTTCCCATTCAAAGTCCATGGCCTCAAAGTTGTGGCAAATGCACAGTAAAGGTTAGATGTCAAGAACATGGCCATGGAAAGGTATGCCCACCATGGGACAATATTTGCTTGTTCTGAACACTAGAAAATATAGTTGATCCAGAAATATGTCTGTTAACATATTGTTCGGTTCCAGATTTTCCCTTATTGCAAACCGTTTTTGTTGTTGTTGCCTTCCTATAATTTGCTGTGAAGAGGTTTTACTGTGCTTAATCAGCCTCCTCATTTTTTTAGAGGTGACACGATTCATTTATTTGACATTAAATCCCCGTGTCAGACAGATATTACATGGGAGGCTACTTTTTGTATCACTGTGCTCTTCACAAATTCTTACCACATTAGCAAAAGTCTCTCAACTCTTCAGCAATATCTCTTTTTCTATGTGATAATAAACTATCACAGCAAGAACACCACACTTAGAAGGCTTGCATTCTAGACCAAAGACTGTCATGCATGAAATAAGGGACCTTAAAAATGTCATCTAACCTCTGGGTCCGAGCACCCCCACTTTACAAGTAGGGCAATTATAACGCACCCTGGCCTATCTTGATGCTCTTTGTAGATCCGATAGGGAAAATGTACCTGAAAGCACGTTGTGCTATAAATTTACTCATACATTTATTGAACAACATAATTGTTGATGTGCGTAAAATACAAACTGTTCTTCAAAGACTGTGTCTATATTCAATCTTAATAAAAGGCCAACTGAAAGCATTTTTATTGGGAACTGAGCTAATGTAGCCCAGTGAATAGAGGAATTAAGCTTAGACAACCCCCAGGAACGGATGGTTAACACGTCCCTTCAAATATCTCCTTGAGTGTCAGCCTTCTCTTCTGAAATTTTTATAGAGAGCTAATCAGTTCAAAATAGAAGCCATGGGTGAATGTCCACAGTGCCCAAATACTGATTTCAGCCTGATCCATGCACTTTAGAACTGCGACCTGCCCAGTTATGAAATTCAAAACATACAGTGAAAATTTCAAAATACATAGACTCTTTCTCACGTTCACTCTTCACTTCTTAAATGTGAGGCTCAGAGGTATCTTTGTGTTGCCAGGAGTTTTAGATCTGCTAAAAATAAATAAATAAATAAATAAATAAATAAAACCTGGACGAGTATTTGACTGAGTCCCTTGAGTTCCTTGCCAGCAGCAGGGCAGAAATAGCTTTGGCCTGGTGATTTCAGGGCAGGTGTTACCAGTTGGTTGCCTGAGCCATAGAAAAACCTCCTTCTGGACTTTTAAAAATGCCTGATTTGAGAGGCACTACCTCCTGATGGGCCTGCCAGGGAGAATTAGTTTCAGAATGCACTCAGAGGAAGTGGACTGAATTAAGTTACTGAATAAACTAGGAGTGTATACCTAAATGTTGGAAAAAGCCTGCCCAAAACAACAGTCTTGGTTTTGGCCTCACTGAAGTTGAATTGCCCTTTTTTGGTTTGGTTTGGTTTTCCGATGGTATTTATTCCACTGGTTCAGCTACTGATATTAGAGTTTTGTGGTTCATGATAATAAAATTTAGTCACAGGAAGTCCTTTTTGAAAATGCACTCTTAGAGCAATGAAGGCAAATTACTAACACCTGTGTGAGTGTCAGGACTCTAACCAAAGACTAGAAAGTGTATGTGTGTGTCCTGCTTCCTGAAATACAGGTCCCCTCTCTTTGAAGGAGATCAGCACTCCAGAAAAGCTGGATTTAAGTCAAATTCAATTTCCGGTGGTCTTCCATGGTTAAAAAAGTGATGTAGCAGGGCCGGCCAAGCTGCTCAGTTGGTTAAGAGCTTGCTCAAGAGTTTGAGCTCAGAGCAACAGCAGTTCAAACCCAGGCCCGAGCTGAGCTGCCAACAGGTGGCAGGATGGCTCAGCTTAAAAAAAAAAAAAAGGTGATGTAGTTGCTTGAGAAGTAAATCCTCCAGTGAACTTTATTATTGGTTTGAAGTGTAAGGTGAATAATGAAGGCTCTTCAATGGTTCTTAAGTGTTTGGAGGTCATGCCTCCCTTGAAAATCTTACAAAACCCGAATGTCTCACCTGGAAAAGTGAACAGAGCATATACTGCGCATTTTGGATTGTAATTCCATGGGATTCGGAGCTCACCGGTGGGTCCCAGCACACCCAGGCTCCCCATAGTGCATCTCCGTCCCCACCCACCTTACAAGTCTTTTTATTTCTCTCTCACTCTCATCTTGCAGCTGTCCCTTTTCCCATAGTCTCTCTCCCTCGCAAATCTGCTGTGAGTTCTCACTCACATCCACTTCCTGGAAGGCCAGTTTGTCTCTGGGCCTATAATAAGCATAGATCTTGAGCAGAAATGACAAAAGTGAGAGCTGTCATTCGCTGGGTGTCTGCCCTGCACAGGCAGTGTGCTGAGTGCTTTACATGCAATGCCCCCCACTCCACGTGGTCACATGGTGTCTGGGGTGATTTGTGTGCATGGCTGTGCATCTGCTAGCTCAAAGGAAGCAAAAGATGCTGTCTGTATATAAGATACACAAGAGATGATGGACCCATGCCTCTAATCTTGTTCCACACCCCGGAAACACTAAGAACACCAGGCAATTTGTGTCTCTTTGTTCCCCCACAATGAGGATGACTTTAGGTCAGGTGACCACCATCCCCTTGGCACTTGAGTGGAGTTGGAGGTGCAGCAGCCTTTCAGGCCTTCCCATTAAGAAATCTCAGTTCCCTGCCTCACTGCTCTGAAATCACTACCATGCACCTCTGACTATTGCTTTCTGTTTTACTTTATTCAAACAGGTAACAACGCTGACTCAGGAGGTCTCTCAATTAGGTAAAGACATGAGGAATGTGATGCACCTTCTAGAAAATGTTCTGTCACCCCAGCAGCCATCAGGGTTTTGCTCTCTGCACACTGCCTCTGTGTGTCCCAGTAGGGACAGCTCACAGACCAGGATGACCTGGAGTACGCATCAGCCTTGCCTGCACGTGCAAGCAGGTGGAGCTGCTTATACTCAAGCACAACTTTATCACGGTCATGCCACTTCTGATATTTGGAGTGTGGACCCCTCCTCTGTGGAGGGCAGCCCCCAACGAACTGGAGCTCGTGAGCAACATCCTGCAGACCGTGAACTCTGTCACTCTCCACACCTGGATTTTTCACCTGCCCACCACCAGGTTGTCCAAGAAGGTCATTTGCAATTTTTAAGGTGCATCTCTCCACATTCAGATAGCACGCTGACGCCCCTGCAGTCCATTTCAGCGACTCTCTCGTCCTCTGTCTGCTCCTCCTCGGAAACATCTTTGCACCTGATTCTCCCAAGCAGATCTGAGGAGGGCAGCCTCAGCCAGGGAGCCGTGAGTTCCTTCAGCCTGGAAAACTTGCCAGGATCTTGGGAGCGGGAAGGAATGGCATCAACCTCTACTGAACCTTTGGAGAACTTTCCACTGGAAGTTGTCACAAGCACAGCAGAAGTGAAAGACAATGAAGCCATAAACGTATGACATTAGTGCATGTGAGGCAGCTGCCAGTTTCGGACCCGCCACTGCATGACAGCTTTTGTTTGCCTTTTTTTTTTTTTCTGCCTCCAGCGGGCCTGAAGACTGGGCAGATTTGAGAGTCCTGCCCAAGAGAGTATGAGGTGCCAGGGAGAGTCACAACCACCTCCATACTGTCGCAAAGACTTCCTAGATCCTAGAATCATAATAGAAACATTCTCCTGTACAGGTATTAACTTACCGGTCTGTTTGACAGACTTTGGTAAAAGTCCAAAGACCCTGAGGGTCTGAGCAGCTAGAAGTCCCAGACAAAGAATTTGTGAATTCCTTTTTGTCCTAGGTGGCTTTTGTGAAGAGCGGCAAAGGTTTTTCCTGAGTGCCTATTTGTCATGCTTGAACAATATCCGTAGCACTGTTGGCCTCGGGAGTGAGTGCACAGCTCCCGCTGATCTATTTTATTTTTTGTGAAGGCAAAGGGACAATTATCACTGCATGTCATCTCCTAGACAATCAGTCAAATAGAGCTGGTGGCCAGTGGTTAGCTATTGCACGTTATTTGCCATGTAAATGAATATGTCTTTATTTATCAAGAAAAAAAAAGAGAGGCTATTTTTATATCCTTGGTATGAAATATGTATTTAAACTATTTAAAATATTTATAAAGAATTGAATGTTTTCTTTTCATTTTGGTAAAGGAAAAAAAAGCTTGCCATTTTAACAAGAAATGCACTATGTTATGTATAGTAGATCAAAAAATTATTTATTATTAAGAAGAGGTAGTTTCAAAAGGAATCCCCCTTTTACCTGCATGCAGTTTGCAACAAACGTATCCTCACGCTTCTGGATTACAAAAGAAGAGTGAGGCCATATTTTATTAATGAAATGAAAACACGGACTGAATGTCAAGTACAAAAGCTCTGGCATGGCGGTAGGGAGGGTTCCACTTACTCTCTGCTGACTGACGTCCACGACTGAACCGAGGCTGCCCCCACTGTGCCAGCATAAATGTCCCTCCTCTAGGTGGCGCACTGAGTTACTCAAGAACTCAAAAGTGATCTGTGGCATATGAGAGTACAACCACATTGAGCCATTTTGGCCTCACAAGGAGCTAGAAAGCCTTGGGTGTAGCCTGTCCCTGTGCTATTCTTTCAGGAGGTTGTAAACCACTGAAGAGTCCAAAATGCAGCCAGGACGTCTGAGCTATGACTTCAGAGAGAGGTGCCAGCTTACGTTGGATCAGCACTTTAATTTTTTTTCCTTAAAGCTCTCAGTAATGTTGTAAGTTATGTGGAGCAGGTGTTTTCCTTCTCGTTTTGCAGAGAAAAAAAAAGTCTCAGAGGTTACACAGCAAGGATGGCTGGAGACAGTCTAGAGCTCATAATGCCCCCTACAGCTCAACCAGCCTGCAAACTCCGATGCTGGCTTGGTAAGGATTTTAATGCCTTCTCTTAAGCTTTATTTTATGTTTAAGAATGTTTAGGGCATAATCATCCCAGACATTCTCAGAAAATGTGTTAAGTTCACATTCTAGAGTCCCCCTGTTCTTATTTCCCACCACAAAGGATAAACAATCTGAGAATTGTATCATTAGAAACATCTAAATAAAAGCGAGACTTCTGATGTGTGAATCTGATACCCTAAAACTGGCTAGAGTAGCAGAAAGAAAAGAAATCTTCCCCAAGAAAAAAATGGAAACGCTACATGTTTATGAGGCTCCATGTTTTCTACTCTCCCACCTCCAAAATTTAGTCTCTCCCGAAGTGAATGGGAAAATTGAAGCAAAGGCAACATTCTAGATACAATGCACTCATTTGTATCCCCTGTTTTGCTCAGTTTGACCTGTGTCATCATTTGAAGCACCATTCAAAAAGGACCAACTGGTGTTGGTGGATATCCTGGCAAACTAGCACCGCTATTGCTGATGCTACTGATAATGACTGGCGCCCTGCCCTTTGAGTACTGACTATGTACCAACAGAGGTTTAGGAATTAACACGTGTTATGTTTCCACATATAATTATCACACAATGCTAAACGTTCCTGGTTATTATTCCCATTTTGTAAATAAATAATTGCGACACAGATTGTTTTTTAACTTGCCCAATCACACTGTTTTCAACGATAGACCCAATACCCCGTGGTCATTCTGGATACTCTTCCCTTCATGTCCAAACCCATTCTTGCTGCCTTTTGAAACTTTACTAGTGATTACTTTCTTTTGAAATCCACAAATAAAATAAACTATTTGTTGTTTTCTTTTAAGTAAGCCCACAAATGGGATGAATTAGTTCAGCTCTGAAGATGTGGGGACGTCCAAGGAAATACCTGGAAACATGCCCATATTTTCCCAGTTAGTCACCTTCCCTGTATCTACTCCTAACAACTGACTTTTGTGGGCATAAGCACCAGCTGCCCACCCTGGGTACGTCTGCAACTGGACAAGAACGAGCAAGGGCCTCAGAGAAGTGAGGGCTCCCCGGGGTTTCTTACAGGAGGGCACCCGCCTCATCTGAGTCAGCCCAACCTTCTTCCTTATCTGCCTTTTCATCAGTCTGACACACAAGACTCTTCCCATATCCAGGGCACCTCTGAATGACATGTTCTGGTAATTTTGTTTGTTTATCCATGTTGTGATATTATTCTAGGAAATGAGAATTCCAAGTGTTTCTAGATGTTTGATTTTCTAAACATTGTTGCTATGCAAATAGCAGAGGCCCTTGTCTTCTAATCAGGGGTGCATTTGGGGATCCCTACATTTTCCTCACCTACCCACTCTGTGCTGAAGAAGCAAAGCAGGGGTCAGAGGGAACAGAGGCACTTATTTTTTGATCAAGTATATTTTCTTAAAAATAATATGGAGGCTAAAGTCTTCTGCGTAGTTCTAGTTAAAAGAACCAGGCAAACAGATTATAAAATATTTTAATTCAACATAGGAGGAAGCTTTTGGCAATTAAAGCTACTTGCTAGTGGAGTTTATTGCCTTGAGATCACTCTCAAAGTGTCCTTTCAGAGGCTGAATAACTGTTTGATAGGAATATTGTTTTCCAGAAGGGCTCTGTATTTGGTCTTAGCAGATGCCTGCATCAGAACCCCATGGGGTGTGATTCTGGCAGAAAATCTGGCTTTAACCTTGTCCCTTTAGGTGGGGCCTGGGAATCTCCCTTTTAGTAAACTGGTGACTTTCAGACACTGAAGATTAGGATGTTTTGGTCTGCAACCTGTAATAGCACAGTTCTGAGTCCTAGCTCATAAGCGGACTAGCATCTAACTTCTGTTAAAGACAGCCCTGAGCCTACGATTGTGTAACAGAGAGACCTGGTTAACCCCCATAGCAGCAGTCTCAAGCTCTAGTTTGAATAACATACTTCCAGGGGACCTTAATAAAATAGAGATTTCAGGGCTCTGACCCCTACGGGGCGGGCGGGGTTCCAAGGGATTCTGATATGAATTTCCAGGAAACCAGCTCCAGAGACATCGCCCTAAGCTGTGTAATCATCCCGTAGACAATGAGGAGTTGGGTCTGTGGAAGGTGGACCAGCCAGAATCAAACCAATTAAAACTGACAGTTGTGTGCAACACTATTTCCATACAGTTCCTAATATGTCAATGCTTTTTTGTAAAAATGACTGGTCACTTTCTCTAAGAAAACGTGAAGCATTTATTCACTACTTCAAATACTAATGGTTGAGTGCCTATTATGTGTGCTGTATTTAGTACCTCTTGATTTGTTGTAGGGCTTTGTCTTCTTGCTTTACTTGGATTTTCTCAAAGGGAAAGAAAAAAGGTGAAAATGCCTTTTGAAGTCTCATAAGAGGGCCAGTTCTTCCTGGATACTGAGGAATCCTATTTGGATGTGAAGCAAGTCAACGATTTAGAGAATGACAACTGCTGTGGATGACCCCTGTGCAGTATGGAACTGCTAATGTCAAGATTATGATTTAACAGATCAATCAACATAGCTGGCTCCAAATAGTTCTTGCTAAGGCTGCTTCTTCGCATGAAATGTGTAGTTCATTTTCTAAGGCCACCCTTTGAAGACATTGCCTTGACCTATAGAATTCTATAATGCTCCCAACCGTTGCCTTCCCTTAGATCACCATCATCCCTGAAAACACAGCCTCCAGGCATGTGCCGGCTCAGTGAAAGGCTGGCCTCTGCTTACTTCCTTCAGTTGATCCAAAGGCAGATGCTCCACATAAATGAGATGTTGAGAAAGGAGCCGGCACTTGGGAGGAACACCAATGAGTGTTTGCTTTCAACCATTTCTCCTTGCTCTGTGACCTCGGACAATTATATAACACTTCTGAGCCTCGATGTCTTCATCTAAAAATTGAGGATGAAAATATACCTACCTTGTAGAATTTTGGGAAGGTTTAATGAAGTAATTTATGTGAAAGCACACTGCCTGACATATAATGAATGCTAAGCAAATGTCAGTTCATCTCCCCTGACACTGCTACTTCCCTCGCATCCTTGCACCTCCCTCTCTCCCTCCCATCCTATGACTTCCTCCCTTCCTTCCCCCACCTCCTCTTCCCCTACTTCCTCCCTGGCTCTTCATTTTCTCCATTCTCCTTTCCCCTTCCTCCGTTTCTGCTCTCTCTTTCCCTTTCCCTTCTCTCCTCTTCCACTCCCTCTTTCTTCCTCCTCCACTAAAGGTCTCAGACTAAGTTCTGGAAAGTGAGTCCCTTTGGACATCTTACCTGCATAGGTCACAATCTAGTTTTTATACTATGTCCCCTACAGTCTACTCCTCAAAGTATCACCAACCAAGTCAACCGTCACCTTTAAAAAATAAAATAAAATAAAAAAGCCATTGAGGAGGCAGCAGGGTAACCATGCGCTGTCTCTGTTCCCAGCCACCTTAGCCCCAACCCATTAGGGCTTCTGTTTTTTTTATCTGAATTTAGTAATTAAAGCCTTATTTTAAAGTCTTTACAATTACAGAGAGCTCCAGGAAATTTATTCAAGAACATGAATATATTACATGAACATAGTCCCTGCCCCCTTTTTTGCTCATGAAGTTTCTCTATGAAAAGTTGGTGTTGTTTCAGAAGTTACCTATAATACATATTTGTGCTGTACCTACCACCCCTGGCCACAGACCTGAGTGCTGTCAGCCAAATGCCCCAGAACCTTCCCTGTGGGAAGTGGTCTTGCCCCCTCACCCATAGCTCCTTTGGCTGAAAGCAGAGGTGAGGAAACGCCTACTACTTCACACAAATGCCTTCAAAGTGTCCCCTTGGTATCCCATTGCGAGAAGAGGTCCCACCAAAAAGAATAGCTGAAATGTCACTCCATGCAGCTTGAGTCCTGAAAACAATCTGCTTCTTGGGTGTGTCATTCAACAGAGCCAGAAATAAAGAGCTGGCAAAAGACCTGAGGACAGACAGCCCAGGGAGGCGGAGACAGCCACACCTGGAGCTGTTCTAGGGAATCAGATAAACTGTACTTTTCTGGATGAAAACAACTGAGTGGGCAAAACACATCCTCTGGGCAAAACTATGCCTTCTCAGCTTATTTCCTTCCGGCTTAGGTTTTCCCCCTATGGCGATAAGAAGCTGGGAATGGGCTGGCATCTGATCATGCTTCTAAGGCTCTGTTTTG